AAATAAATAATAATATAAATAATAATATAAATAAGGAAGAAAAAGAAGAAAAAGAAGAAGAAAAAGAAGAAGAAATAAATGAATATTATATAAGAAATAAAATGTTTATTGAATTTAATTCTTTTATTGTTGCTGTTAAGGTAATAAAAGGGAAGCTGCCTATACACCCTAATTATAATTATTATACAACAATACAGCAGCAGCAGCAGCAGCTGCTGTTGCAGCAGCAGCAGCAGCAGCAGATGTGTATACAGCCTATCTATGCATTTTGTGAATTTATTTCTGCTGCTGCTGCTCAGTATGTGCTGCAGCACATGCATGGTAAATATGTACCAGGTAAGCAGCATAAATATAAACTTAATTGGGCATCATTTAATCTAACTACTCCTTATCCCCAGCAGCAGCAGCACCAGCAGCACCAGCAGCAGCAGCAGCAGCAGCAGTATGGGTTCCAGCAGCAGCAGCAGCAGCAGCAGCAGCAGATACTGCATCAGCCTAAAATTGTATACTCTAGACCCCCACAACTCAATAAGCATGCTGCTGCAGCACATGAAGGAACTGCAGCAGCAGCAGCAGCAGCAGCAGGAACAGCAGGACATTCAACAGCAATTACAGCAGCAACAGCAGCAGGTAATAATCTCTAACAAACCCTAAACCCTAAACCCTAAACTCTAAACCCTAAACCCTAAACCCTAAACACCAACCGGTTTGTTTATTTATCTCTTCTTATATTTTGTATATCCTCTTCCTACTACCCTTTAGTCCTATCTAGGGTTTAGGGTTTCCTAGGGTTTAGGGTTTTTTAGGGTTTAGGGTTTTCTAGGGTTTAGGGTTTAGGGTTTAGGGTTTAGGGTTTATATCTCGACAAGTATAAAGGTTAAGATGTTGGTTTTTGGTGTATTTGTTTGTGTGTAGAAATAATAAGGGTTTAGGGTTTAGGGTTTAGGGTTTATGTTTAATGATATGTATATTTATATATATTAGGTCGTGGTTATTTATTGAATAAAACCCTAAATGAGGGTTTAGAGGAAGGAGTATATTCAGTATGGATAGGAGGTCTAAACCCTCAGACATGCAAAGAAGAAATAGAAGAATTATTTTCTTCTTTTTATTCATCAATTATTAATATTAAACTTATTCATGACCCTAATACAGGTATATTATTCTTCTTGCTGCTGCTGCTGCTGCTGCTGCTGATGCTGATGCTGGAGACGTCCTTATTGATATATTTATTGTCTCCTTTTTTTTCTCCTTTTTTTTTTTGTCTCTTTTTTTTCTCCCCTTTTTGTCTCCTTTTTGTCTCCTTTTTGTCTCCTTTTTGTCTTTTTTTTTTTTTTCTTTTTTTTTCCCCTTTCTTTCTTTTTTTCTTTAATTAATTAATTAATTAAATAAATAAAATAAATAAATAAATAAATAAATAAATAAAATAAATAAATAAATAAATAAATAAATAAATAAATAAATAATTTATATGTATAGGTAACTGTAAAGGGTTTGGTTTTATTCATTTTATAAACAAAGAAGAAGCAAATAAATCAATAAAACTAATTAATGGTATTTATTATCATGGTATGTTTATTAAGCTAAATATCTCACATAATACTAGAGCAGCAGCAGCAGCAGCAGCTAATGCAGCAGTAGCAGCTAATGCAGCAGCAGCAGCTAATGCAGCAGCAGCAGCTAATGCTAATGCAGCAGCTAATGCTGCAGCAGCTAATGCAGCAGCTAATGCAGCTAATGCAGTAGCAGCTAATGCAGCAGCTAATGTAGCTGCAGTGATTGGTATGGGTGGGGGACCAACATCAGTACAACAACAACCACCAACAGCAGCAGCAGCAGCAGCAGCAGCAGCTAATGCAGCAGCTAATGCAGCAGCAGCAACATGGCAAAAGACTACAGATGTCTCTCTTTGTTCTGCTCTTGCTAAGATATTTGCTGCTACTGCCTTAGAGGCGCAGCAAAAGGCAGCACTTTGCTGCAGCAGCAGCAGCAGCAGCAGCAGCAGCAGCAACAGTAAGAGTAACAAAAGAAAAAGAGGAGTATATACATCTGCACCTACTACTGGATCAACAGCAGCAGCAGCAGCAGCAGAAGGAGGAGGAGGATATAAATTATATATTCGTGGATTAGATGCACATTGTACAGACTATGAGGTGTACAGACACTTCAGCTTCTTTGGTGATATAATTGATTGCCGTATAAGCAGCAGCAGCAGCAGCAGCAGCAGCAGCAGCGGTAAAGGTAAAGGATATGTTATATTCTTAGATGCAGCAGCAGCAGCAAATGCATTGCGGTGTATGCATGGTGCTGCTATAGGTACAGCTCAGGTGTCTGTAGAGGCAGCAACACCAGATGTTGCTGCTGCTGCTGCAGCAGCAGCAGAGGAAGAGGAAGAATTAACACACAAAAAGAAAAGGTGGCAAACTACACCAGGTGCAGCAGCAACAGCAGCAGCAACAGCAGCAGGAGGTGCTGCTGTAGATCCTCTTGGTTCGCATTTAGCTGCTTCTTTCTACCAGCAGCAGCAACAGCAGCAACAGCAGCAGCAGCTGTTGTTGTTGCAGCAGCAGTATCTGCAGCAGCAGCAGCTATTGATGCTGCAGCAACACCACCAGCAGCAGCTACAACTGCAGCAGCAGCAGCAACAGCAGCAACTGCAGCAGCTAGAGGCCGAGGAGGATGAGGGTATATGGATGAAAGAGAGACTGCAGCAGGAAGCAGCAGCAGCAGCAGAGGCAGCAACAGCAGCAAAAGAAATAGAATTAAGTGGTGGCTTATTCAGGGACACAGACCCTTCCTTAATACCTGCAGATCTGCTGCCCAGTTGTATGTACACCTCAGCAGCAGCAGGAGGGAGACACAGCAGCATGGAGAGACATATCTATTATAATTTGCTGCTGCTGCCTTGCCAACTCTCTCTTCGTAGCAGCAAAGGAGACACATTTGCTGCTGTACAAATAGATGAAGAAATGCATGCAGCAGCTGCTGCTGTTGCTGCTGCACTCAGGTGTACACTGCAGCAAAAGGTCTTGCTGCACCTCCCGCTGCAGCCCCAAGACCAAGAAGAGTTATATAAGCAGCAAGATATAGATCTAGATGATGCATGCAGCTGTCTTTGCTGCTAACAGGGGAGACATATGCACCAGCAGCAGCAGCAACAGCAGCAGCAACAGGGAGACACACAGCAGTAGTAAAAAGGGAGGCAGCAGCAGCAAAAAGGAGACAGCAGCAGCTGCTACTGCAACACCCAGGAGCCTGTCTACGTCTTATACATATATACACCTTGCTGCTGCTGCTGCTGACTGCAGCAGCAGCAGCAGTAGTAGTAGTAGCAGCAGCATGTGCGGCAGTATGTGCATGCAGGCCCCACTGTTGCTGCAGCAGCAAAAAGGGCAGCAGAGGGAAGCTCTGTTGCTGCTGCAGCTGCTGCGTGCTTATTTGCATGCGCTGCTGCTTTTGTTGCTCTATTGCTATAGGAATACACTGCGGTGTACGTACACCTCAATGCACGCATGCAGCCCTACTGCATGCATGCATGCATGCATGCAGTTCCTCTGCATGCATGCATGCAGCCCCATTTTTCTTATATTTCCCTCTAAGGGCAAAAGACACAAAAAGAAAAAGAAATGTTCTTCTGCTGCTGCAAGGAGGAATATAAAGGCCTTTTTTTGTCTCCTTTTTGTCTCCTTTTTGTCTCCTTTTGTGTCTCCTTTTTGTCTCCTTTTGTGTCTCCTTTTTGTCTCCTTTTTGTCTCCTTTTGTGTCTCCTTTTGTGTCTCCTTTTGTGTCTCCTTTATGTGGTTATAAGAAGGGGACACAAAAGGAGACACAAAAGGAGACAAAAAGGAGACAAAAAGGGGACAAAAAAGGAGACAAAAAGGAGACACAAAAGGAGACAGTAAAGGAGACAATAAAACACGCAAATATATACAGGTATAGAGTTAAGGAATAATTTAATTAGGGGGCCCCTTAGAGAGTACTAGGGGGCCCCCAAACGGTACGTAGGGTTCCCCACAGAGGGTACAAGAGGGGGCCCCAAGAAAAATGCACAGGTGGGTCCCCAATAGGCACTTCCTAAGGGGCCCCACAAAAGGGTACTGGGGGGATGCACATGGGGGGCCCCCCACAGGGTACTGGGGGGCCCCCAACGGGTACTTGCTGAGGGGCCCCCCCAGCGGGTACTTAAACTTAGAGGCTCCCACAGGGTACTTACAAGCGGGCCCCCCAGGGTACTGGGGGGCCCCAAGAGGGTCCTTTCTGGAGGGCCCCAGGAGGATCCTTCCTCGGGGGGCCCCCAGTGGGTCCTTAACAGGGGGCCCCTAGGGGGGCCCCCATAGGTTTATTTCTTGGGGGGCCCCCAGGGGGGCCCCCAAGCAAGGAAGCAGCAGGGTAGGGAGAAGAGACAAATGAGAGAAAAGAATCGGCAATAGTTGTAAGGATATTTTTATATAGACAAAGAGCGTAAGAAAGAGGGTACAACAACAGCAGCAGCAGCAACTGCTGCTGCTGCGGCTGCACAAATCCATGATTGCATGCATGCATGCATGCATGCAAGTTATGCAAGGAGACGATCTCTGGGGCTGGCTAATTTTTCTCCTTGCTGCTGCACCCCACAGTTAGCTACTGACGCAGGTGTCCCTTGTCTTGTAGAGACAGCCTGCAGCAGCAGCAGCAGCAGCAGCAGCAGCAGCAACAGCAGCAGCACGAGCAGCAGACACAGATATATAAATGCCTCCTGTTGCTGTCCTCGCCCTCCCTAGCCGTGCCTTCGCCTCCTCCTATCGGCATACCTACAGAAAGAACCCTAAACCCTAAACACTAGACCCTAAACCCTAAACCCTAAACCCTAAACCCTAAACACTAAACACGAAACACTAAACCCTAAACCCTTAGTTTATTGTCTACTTGTGTCTCCTTTCTGTCTCCTTATATCTACAACTGTCTCCTTTTGTCTCTTTCTGTCTCTTTGTGTCTCCTTTTATATATATATATATATTATAT